TGCTAGCCGTCTGAGCGCGAACGCTCAGGTTCATCCCCTAGGCCCGCTGCCCGCCCCTCCTGCTGCGGGAACGGCCATGAAGCACACACGGCTTTGCGAGAAGGGCGTCGTCATGTGACTGGGCATGCGCGGGAGACCCTGGATGGACGGACAACGGAGGAGGAGGAGGAGGAGGAGGAGGAGGAGGAGGAGGAGGAGGAGGAGGAGGAGGAGGAGGAGGAGACGAGGACGAGGACGAGGAGGAGGAGGAGGAGGAGGAGGAGGAGGAGGAGGAGGAGGAGGAGGAGGAGGAGGAGGAGGAGGAGGAGGAGGAGGAGGAGGAGGAGGAGGAGGAGGAGGAGGTGGAGGAGGAGGAGGAGGAGGAGGAGGAGGAGGAGGAGGGGCATCCAGAGCTGCGCCCCGAAGTGGCTGCGCGCGCCACGGTCGGAGCGGCGGGACAACGGACAGCCCAGACACCTCCGCCATGGGCGCCTGCAGGGCTGCCGTTGCTGCCAGCGGGCCTGGCACCCCACGGGCAAATTTGGGCATCAACCCATGCCCAGTGCTTCGGATTTACCAGCCTGGAGCATATCCCTATCCCTATGCTGAGCACCTCCTCATCACGATGCCAATCTTTGGGATTCCCTTATTTTTTGAAGGCGAATCCCTAAGATTGTCATCGCCTTTTGGCGTGTCAATCTTAAGGATAGGGATACGTTCGAGGCTGGTACCCCCACGGGCAAATGTGGGCATCGACCCATGCCCAGGGCTTCGGATGCAGCTCCTGGGAGGTCAAATCCTTGATTTGCCCTGGGCCGAAGTCCGGCTGAATCCGGCTTCCTCCGATTTCATCCCGCTTCTTCCCGCTCATTCCCGCTTCATCCTGCCTGGTCCGCGGCCCGCTCCGGCGTAGCAGCTCCCAGATGGGGCTTACTCCTCCTTAGTCTTTCCGACGAAAGCCTCCCAGCAGTTGCCTCCTAACGGTGCATCCAGTTCTAAAAGTATCCTCTCCCGCGGCGTGTACACTTTGCTCAGCAAGCGCGTTCGCCACGCCAGGTTTTTTAAGACTCTCCTCCCCTGCTGCCACTTGGCTGCCCTCTGTGGGACGGGGGGGGGGGGAGAGCGTGCGAGTGCGTGCGGAGGCGGGGGAGGTCGGGGTCGAACTTTTGGGGTTTCCGGTTCGGCTTCTCAAGACTTGGCATCGCTCGGACGCGTGTATTCTTCCTTCGGCGAGGACCATCGAGGAGCATCTTTGATTATTTGGCGAGAAAATCACGCACGAAACCAAAAAAGCACAGGGGATGGACGTCCGAGCGATGGCCAGAAGAGCACCTTCATGAGGCCGGTTCGCTGGTTTTATAAAAGGGCCCGTTCTGCGCCAAGATATTGTACACCCACGCTCTGGACGGGGAGGGGTTCGAGCGTCGGGGTGCGCAGTTCATGACATGATCGTGCCATGGGCCACCACCTCCACCAGTAAGTTCTCTGTTGCGTTGAAGACCGCCTCTTCCCACATATCCTTCCACATCGTGACCAGCTGCGCCCCAGATCCGATCCCGTCACGCTGCAAAGCGCAAAGCGTGGGCGAACTATGCGGCGGAACGGGATCTGCGAGGACGCGGTTCGCGCTCGGTCGGCTTCGCTGGACCCCCTCGTCTACGAGTGCTTCTCGGGGCCAACGGGCGCGGGCAAACCCAGACGCATCCGCCGCCATGACAACATCGAGGCGGCGAACGTTATCGGGTTTTTGCCCGGCCTTGATCGCGCAGCGTGTGGCGGGGCCATCGGCGCGGGCGCCTTGGAAGACGTGCCCGGCAGCGATGCGACGTTTCCGCGCCTCTGCGACGTGCTGATGACGGGCGAGTTCGCGGCCTGGGAGGGCCCCAGCCCCCGGTGCTGCGCGAACGCCAGGACACGAAGCCCCGCGACAGTGCGCCCTCGCCCCGCGCGCGCCACGGTCTGCCCACGTGGCTCTCGATTCCGTTCGTTCCGCCTCGCGCTGCCTGCTTGCATCGCGCACCTCACGCGGCCAGGAAGAGTGGTCGAGCTCCAGAGGGACGGATGGTCGAGCGCACAGCAGCGCCGGGTATCGTGCCAGCGCGTTGCGTGGGGGAAGACGCGCCGCCAAGGGCGTGGGTGAGGAGCAGCAGTGGCAGGACGACTACGAGGGAGGGCGACGAGGCGGGCAGGGATGCGGTTGGAGTCGCCGGACCAATGGCGGCGGGCAGAGGGAGAGTGAAGAGGGGGCGCAACCGGGCGCAGCAAAACGATTACCCAAGATGCTCGGATGTCCCCCTTTCCCCCTCCCCCTCCTCGATCCCCCCCTTCAACCCTGTGCCTACAACCCCCCCCCCCCGGCGAAGGCTTGCAATTGGACGGGCCCCAGCCCCCGACCCCCGTCGAGTTCGTGGCAGGGCTGCCCAGGCGTTTGCCGGCCAACACCGCTGATATGCCGCCTACATCCTGAATTCAGGAGGGGAAAAAACACACAGACACAATTTATCGTCGACCCCCAGGAAAATATGGGAAAATATGGGAAGTGGGGGGGAAGACAGAAACACAGAACATATGAGAAAATATGGGGAATCTCGTTGTTTGTGTGTATTTATTTGTGTGTTCTGGGGCCCCTTCACTGGCGTCGCTCCTGTTCACCCCTGCCCCCTTCCGCGCTCCCCCCGCCACTCTTCGCGCACCTCCGTCGCCCTTCCCTCCAGTTCCCCCCTCCCCCGATCCCTCGCGAGCCTGACTCTTCCGCGATCACATAATATCGGGGATGGACAGAACCCCCAACAGTGACACGTCGATTAGTGAATTGTCCGTTCTCGGTTCTCGAGAGGGCGCCGTGGCCGTTATTTTCCAGGCTTGCGCCCGCCAGGTTTGGGCCTCAGGTCGTTTCACTGAGCCACGTTTTGCTAAAGGGGGGTCTGTCCATCCCCGATAATAGGAATGCCACTCCCCTCTCTCTCCCGACGACCCCGAGATCGTAGCCAACCCCTCTTTTACGCGTTGTTTTCTACACATCGGATCCCCCCGTATTGGTCGGCCATCCGTATTTTTTCCCATCGTGGTGTTTTTTTCAGTGTTTCCAGAACGGCGCCCCCACTAAAGCGTTGGTTCTATTTCTTCGCAGGGGATCTTCGAAAGCGCGTTCCCGTTACAGCGTTGGCTCTCTTTTACCGCTTCCGCGATTCCCAAACCGTCCATTCACAATTTACGTCATGGGTCACGTCTGGTTTCTTTCAGAATACGTTGTCTTAGTGGGGCGCGCCACCGACCAGCAGCGCCATGCATTGCGTTGCGATGTCTCATCACGCAATTCCACGCAATGCTATGACATGGTACGCTCTGCCGTGTTAAATTTACGCCGTGCATTGCCATGCATATCGCACCTGCTCCGCGGCCCACTCCGGTTTCGCCCCCAGCATGGCATAGGCGGGAAAATGCCCGATGCGACAGGTACGCCAGCGTCGCCTCGCGTCTCGCGCAGCTCCTCCAAAAAGGCGACGGCAGGAGAATCAACGAGGCGGTGGAGACGGAGGAAGAAGAGCGCGGGTTTGCCAGCGAAACTTCTCAGGGCAAAACTGCTGCCGCCGCCAGACGCATCAGTTCCTTGCGCAGTTCGCGCTTCCACGCCCTCAGGAGCGCTAGCCGCTCACGGCGCACCCCCTCTTTGGCGCAGCCAAAACAGCGCTGGGCCGCGAGGGAAACAGGGGCCCATTCGGCGATGACGGGCGGACGGTTCTACGGATGCCCACCAACCGCAACCAACTGGAGCGACGCCTCCACACGCTGCGCCGGGCACTGGCCGCGAGCTCGCAACACGGGCGAAGACTGCCTCGGATGCACGGCCCCTGCTTGGCCTGCAGTCCACCGCCGCGCCACCGCGAAGGTCGCCCCTTCCCCCGGCAGACGGAAGTCCGCGGCGGCGGGGACGAGGGCCAGCAGGCCCGCGCTGGACAGGCAGCGGAGGGGGAGACGGGGCGGAACGACAGAATGGGGCGGAGGAGAACGGGGGGCGAGGGGGCGGGAGGCAGGGCCTCTACGCCATTCGCACTCACCCCTTCCGGCGCCAGCGCGTGCCGAGCTGGGGATTCACTCGCGACCGGCGCGGGGCCCAGCGCGGATGGGATCCTCAGACGAGGAAGGGGGGGGGGCAAGGCGGAGGCAGGGCAGGGAGGAGGCGAAGGGGGGCGAGTCATGACGCCCGCGTCGCTCGCACCCGCCGCAGATGCATCGTCGACGCATCGCCGATGCATCGCCGCTGCATCGCCGATGCACCAGCGATGCGACGCGATCCTTCGACCCCACCTGCTCGGACCCCAGCTGGGAGGCCTCGAATTGCGTAGGCGTAAACTTTCGGAGTTCCGCGCGCTGAGTGTGCGGCATCTGCGCTCTTTGCGCCGCCACCGCCGAGCCTCCGCGGAGCCTCCGCGCGCGAGATGGGGGGGATATGCGCGCGGAACTCCGACAGATTTTTGGTAGCATGGTATTTCCGGATCCCCAAGTTCCAACAAGTCGTTGAAAGCAGGTATTTCTGGATTTGAAAGCAGGTATTTCTGGATCCCCAAGTTCCAACATACCAATCTATTTTAAGCGCATTCCTACTTCAATGATCGAGTGGCTTCACCTTTTCCTCCTCCTTAGGGGGCGGGCGGAACCTAATCTACTTCCAACGCCTTCCTACTTCATGCTTCTACCTATTTCTTCCGACCGACAGGTATGCAGTCTTGTGGTCTTTATGCATGCAGCTGTTTGTTCCTCTATTGTGAAGATCGGGGCGGCAGGTGCCGCCGACCCTGATACCCGTCAGGGAGGGAGCCAGCCAAGGGGATCGACTCGACTACGACGTTTCTTCTTTAGCACCCCAACAAAAAGGAGATCGACTCGACTGGGACGTTGTCTCCTTCTCTGGGGCCTGGCGACGACGGCGACGAAGACGACGACAGCGTCCCACACGCCGCCGACTTGTCGGCGGATCCCTCTGGACCTGCCAGAAGTTGTCTCCCAGCCCTCCTCGCCAGGATCCCCGAGCTCCGCGCGGCGCGCCGCTGCGGGCGCTGTGGCGCCTGGCCACGCACCCGGCGCGTGCTGCCGAGGGGAGGCTCCTGGTTGCGGCGTCGCTAGCGGCGGCGCCCTGGGCGAGACCCACGACCGCCCCCTGGAGGATCGACGATCGCTCACCGCCCACCCAACCACCCCAGCCCAACCCGAAGACCCTGATGTGCCCTCCATTTCCTCGGGGGGGTCGGGGAGCATCAACAAAAACGGCAGAACCCGTACCCACCCCCAACCCCGAAACTCGGGTCTTCGAGTTGGGTGGGTGTGTTCTGGTAGGTAGTCACGCATGCCCCCTCGACCTGCACCAGCCGAACACCTTCCGCACGGCGAGTGCCGCGCTGCCGCGGCCGCATCGCGGCGGCACTCTCCGCGCGGAAGGTGCGGGAGGTGCAGGGCGGGGGATGGTGGTGACTTTGATGAGGGGCAGGACGAGGAGGGGAAGGACGAGTTTCACTGCCAAGCGAGAGCACATGGGGCGGGGGGCCCGTTGGCATGGAAGACCCTCCGCGGTCCGGGCACCGTCCGGGTCCACGCTTCGCGCTGCCCCAGCAGTGCCCGCCGGCGGGGGCCCTCGAGGCCGAAGTCGAGAAGCAGCTCCGGGATGGCAACGCTACAGAGTGGGAGGCCCCTGCTCCCATGCTGGGGCACAGGCCACATAGTCCTCCAGCGATTTTGTTCTTTCCCCCCGAAGCGTCGCTTCCCTCCGACTTCGGGCCCCGTGGTTCTAGGCCTCCCAGCTGAGGTTCGAGTAGATGGGGTCGGAGGATCGCGCCGTATCGGCGACGCATCGACGATGCGACTCGATTTGGCGCCCGTGTTTCCCCATGCCGACGTCGCCGATCCATCGCCGATTCGTCACCGATGCATCGCCGGTACATCGCCGATACATGATTGGCGATGCGTCGCGATCCTTCGACCCCACCTGCTCGGAGCCCATCTGGGAGGCCTCGAGTAGTCGGGCCCTGGGACCATCAGAAATGGATGCGCGCTTTGCTTCCTCTTGCAGCCCCTGTCAGAGGGGGGCCCAGAGGAGGGCGCTGACCCAGCACCCTGGGGCATGCCCACAGACCGCCGACGACGAGCTCTTTCAATGTTCCGCCCCGGAGGCCCGTGCCACCCCGTGGGCCAGGTGCGTCTCCCCGAGGGTGCACTCCCTGAGAGCCGAGGGTGCTGGCGCCCAGCTGTGGGCCCCCGGGGCCGCAGCCGAGGCAAGACGCCGGGATTCTGGAGGGCCCCGCAGGCCTCCTCGGAGGTCTTGGTCTGCAGGGCCCTGGGCACGGTGGTCCTGTGGGTCACCGAGCGCGTTCCACTACTCGCACAGTGCCTTACTCGCAAGCGTCAGCAAACACACACAGGTCTGCTTCGACGTATACGCATCGTAGATCCCCCGCGGCGGATCCAGGCCATTCGCGAGCAGGTCCTCTGCGAGTCGTGGAGCGCGCTTGTCTGCACAGTCGGGGGCGGACAGAACCCCCAACAGTGACACGTCGATTCGTGAATTGTCCGGTTCTCGAGAGGTCGCCGTGGCCGCTATTTTCCAGGCTTGCGCCCGCCAGGTTTGGGCCCGAGGTCGTTTTCACTACACCACGTTTTGCTAAAGGGAGGTCTGTCCACCCCCGACACAGGCATCCTCGGAGGTCTCGGTCTGCAGGACCCTGGGCACGGGGTCCTTTGCGAGCAGGTCCTTTGCGAGTCGTGGAACGCGCTTGTCTACGTAGGCATCCTCGGAGATCTTGGTCGAGGAGGAGGAGGAGGAGGAGGAGGAGGAGGAGGAGGAGGAGGAGGAGGAGGAGGAGGAGGACTGCAGGACCCTGGGCGCGGTGGCCCCGTGGGGGGGCGGGGAGGGCGTCGGCCCGGCCCGCCCCGGGCACACGCGCGGCGGGCTCGAGCCGACGGGGGGCGGACGAGGGGCGGGGGCCAAGCTAGGTGCGCTCGCGTCATATCTGACGTCCTACCCCGCCCTCCCATCCCTTACCATGGCGCTGATTTTCTCTATCCGCGGACGCGTGTCGTAGCGGACCTGTGGCTCCGCGCGCGCGTGCGTAGTGGGGGGTGCGCGTGCGTGCGTGCGTGCGTGTGTGCGTGGTTGTGGTGGTGGTGGTGGTGGTGGTTGTGGTGGTGCTGGTGGTGGTGGTGGTGGTGGTGGTGCTGGTGGTGGTTGTGGTGGTGGTTGTGGTGGTGGTGGTGGTGGTGGTGGTGGTGGTGGTGGTGCGGCGCGGTGGTGGCGGGCGGATGGGCGCGCGAGAAAGAGGCTCGCGCTGGGGCGAAAACGCCATCCTGAACGACGGAGGCCAAACACCGATCCGAAAATGAGGCCCACGCTGCAGCGGGGGCACGATTCGGAACGATTCGGGGGCAGAAATGAGGCCGGCGCTTCAGCGAGAGCAGCATTTTGAAAAAACGCAGGCGAAAACCCGTTTCCCGGGAATCTTGTGTGTAAAAAACAATACGCGGGGGGGGGTCGGATATCTTCGGGACGCCATCAGGGGAAGTGGGAGAGTATTTTCATATTGTGTAATTGTAGAGGACCAGGGGGGGGCTGGGCGTGTGCTACACGGTAGTCCTGTGGAGGGCGGTCAGTGGAGAGGGATCGCGCTGCCAACTACTTTCCAGGTGTCCAAATAACGTGTGCTAAAGCTGTAGCGAGCATGTAAACAAAAAACATGTTTCAAGCACTTCCAGGACATCCTCCAATTTTTTTAGAGACTTTTTTTTGATTCTGTTTTATCGATGGTAGGAATGTTAGGCTGTCCATTGTCGTGGCATCCACAACAATAGTCATACAGGGACATGCTTGAACGAGCGTGCTGATCATCTGGCCGATTGTGGCGCCGATGGGGTCTCATGTGGCCCTGCTGATGTCCATCGCTGGGCTGTCCTTGCTGGCTAGCCCATTTGCTCCTCGAGGACTGGCATCCCCAGTTCAGCCTCCACACACGCACGATAGTCATTTGAGGAATCAGTTGTTATCTGCCCCGGCGACTCACGCTTAATCACTGCTCGGTAGTGGCTGTTTATCTGCGCTGGCAAGCACGATCAGGCGCCAGTAGGCGCTCCGCTCATATGCGCTACAGTCCTCATGATGCGGGTCGACTGTAAGATGGACATATAGACATTACTAGCTGCGAATAGGGCGGAACCTGTTCTAAAATCGTTACGCGTAGTACGCAAGGGGGGTGAAAACCATACCCAGGCCATGACATCCACCAGATTTCATGCCCCAATTTCTTACTTCAGTACCAAAAGAGGAAAGGGCATACGCATAAACTTTCGGAGGTCCGCGCGGATTTCGTGGATCGGCGCTGGGCCCACCGCTGTGGCGCGCGGACCGCGCCAGGGGCGGCGCCGGAGGCGCCGCCAGGTCCAGCGCGGATCCAGGAAAAGAACTCCGTGCGGAATTCAGAAATTTTCTGTTTGCGCCGTTTGTTTTACGTCCCCTGACCACCTGGCCATGACTCTGGCCCAGGAGGAGGAGGAGGAGGAAGAGACGGAGACGGAGGCGGAGGAGGAGGCGGAGGAGGAGGAGGAGGAGGAGGAGGAGGAGACGGAGGCGGAGGCGGATGCACGAGCCTCAAGCGGCGCGTGTGACCCGCCGCTCGCGCTCGCCGCGCGCCCCACGCGCGACGGGCTCGCGCTCTCAGTGAGCGCCCGCACGCCACGGCCCCTCGGGCTCGGCGTGCCGCCAGCGCGACGGCCTCACGGGCCTCTCAGGTCGTCGGCCCGTCGCGCCAGCTCCCCCTTGAAGGGGGAATCTGGCCATCACCCCTCACTCCTGAGCGGGCTGATGGCCACCGCGACCTTGCCCGAGATCGCTGGGGCGAGCCGCCTCTCCAGGCGCGCCACGGCCAGCAGCCCCTTGGCCGACGCGTGGCCGCACGGCGGCGCGAAGCTGGAGGCCCTGGCCGCCCCCACGGCTCCGCAGGCGGCGCACGCGACCAGCGGCATGTCGCGGCGCAGCTCGACGTCTCGCTCGGGCTCGATGCGCACGAGCACGTGCGTGCTGAGCCCCCTGGCGGCGTGCGTGCGTGCGTGCTCAGCGTTGTGCTGGAGCGCCGCTGGCACGATGGTGCCTGGGCACTCGCCTGCGCACTCCACCCAGCGGCAGCGGCTGCACCACCGCTTGCCAGGCTCCCCGCGCCAGGCACAGGAGAGCCTGACGGCCGGCTGCGCCAGCAGCGCCTTCGGCGCGGGGCGCTGTGGCTTCGCCACGCGGTGGGTGGTGTCCCTGCCGTCCAGCGCGCCGCCCACCGCCGACACCCAGAGCGCGACGCCCTCGACCAGCTTGTCAGCCATGACGAGCCTCCTGCGATCCTGATGGCGGATCCGTCCTGCCGCCGCGGCCGACTTGGCGGCCTTGTCCGCCATGCCGTTGCCCAGCCAGTCACGGTGCGAGATCTTCCCGTGGGCGACCATCGCCCTCTGCGTCTGGTGGGCGGGGACCTTCCTGACCTTCAGCCCGCCGTCGCCCAGGCCGCCGAAGTCCTCCAGCTTGGCCCAAACCTGCCTCCAGAGGTGGGCCCACGCCGCGCCGTGCGCGGTGGTGCGCCTCGGGCCCAGCTCCAGCAGGCCGCGGTGCACGAAGCCGCTGTCCACGACGACGGTGACGGGCGGCACCGCGAGCCTGAGGACCATCAGGAGCGCCATGAGCTCGCCGCCGTTGATGTCGACGTGGGGCTCGCACAGCATCCCCGACGCCCCGCGCAGGAAGGCGTCGGCGTCGGCCTCGAGCGCGATGACGGCCCAGGCGACGCTCGCGTACTGCTCGAAGTCGCCCTCGTACTGCGAGCCGTCCAGGTAGAGCTCGCCAGAGGGGAAGACGCCGTCGCTCTCGCCCAGCCAGCAGACGTGCGGCGACGGGACTGGCTTGACGATGCCAGTCGGCGCCGCCCACAGCACGCGCTCCAGCAGGCAGCGCACTTCGAGCATGTCCGACCTCGCCGCCAGCTCGCGCATCTTGTCGGGCAGCTTCAGCTCTGGCGGCCAACCTGCGCAGCTGCCGCAGTGCCTGTGGAGCAGGGTGCCGACCTCGCCGCACAGCAAGCACGAGTCGTCAGAGGCCATGCCCTTCTCGTACTTGCGGCTCTGGCACCACTGGCCGTCGGTGAC